AGCTTTAAATAACAGCCGTACCGATGTGGTCTAAAGGTAAAAAAATGTTACACAATTATATTAAAGAGCTAAATTCAGTTATAATCGGAAATAACACATTCATTTAAGTGGCAATCTTTGGAATATAGGGAATAATTATCGAACAGAATTATTGGAAATTACTTTCTCGATTAACAGTATATAGTTGTGGAGATTGTTGAGTACCATTGAGATCATAAACCGGTCAATTTTAGACCACCATTGAAAGCCTGGAAGCTTTGGACTCCCATTTCATCCTAGTATGGAACTCTTTAAAAGTGCGCATCCAGGATTCTAAACGCGGGACTTGAACCAAGGACTGTCGGGCGCAAGCGCGAACGCTTAAAATCCAGACCACTGAGCCGGCATACAGTGGTGTTAATGTCTAACTCCAATCAATACACGATATTGCACGATCATCTTCTACTGTCTTCGGTGGGTAACTGCCTCAAACTCGACATAGATTAGTTCTGCTGGTCATGGCTTCTCATTGAGCTGGAGTCCCGCACAAGAGATCGTGAATGCGCACTTCTCTGGTGTCCTATACTAGGACAAAACGGCCGTCCAGTGCTTCCAGGTTTTTAATGGTTGTCTAACATTTGCCGGTTCACGACCCTAATGATTTTCTTGACTGATATAATAATCATGGTGAAAAGTCCTCTTCAGGCGTAGTTTTCACATGCATTCACTCTAGTTATTAGGATTAATATTTCTAGCCTTATAATTGCTTAAATTGTTAAAAAGGGCTAGAAAAATAACTTAATAAGTTTAGTGTTCTTTATTCTTTTATTCTCTCGCCAATTCTTCTTGCTTTTTAAAACGGCAGTTGTTAGTATTCATCACCAATTTGTCAGTCTTTTTCGAACTTTTGCATTTCTTCCTGATATATATATATATATATATATATATATATATATATATATCGTTCCTAGTACTGTAGTAATAGTATTGTTTTTGCCTGCTTTTACAAAGAGTGTTGCCCTGTCGAACTGTTGCACCATACGTAAAACTTGTAAACTAACCATATAGTAATAAATTACTTATTTTATTTAAACATGGAAACAATCTCTCAAGAATAATTATAAGAGGGGAAGGAAGAGAGGTATACATTACCTATACTTACTTCAACACTAGCAAACATTAAATTAAGTTGAAAGTAGGTCGTATCGTGTTTTTAGTTTAGCATAATAACAGCATTAGTAGGTGGTCAACATAATAATCGTGGTGAGCTAGATGGCTAATCGATGAATGTGTTGGGTTACTATGCACATAAGTATACAGTTGTACATACACTTGTGTGTGGATAGGTGTTTAGGTTTCTCTGTATGTGAAAATGACAGTTATTTCTACCATTAGTCTGGATTGTCATCATATTTTATTCCAAGCCGACAATACCTTAAATTAGTAATATTTTATTAAAGGACATATGTATTCAGACGGTTTGTAATCTTGACCATTTTACACCACACTTAAACAGGAATTTAGAACAATATTATGTTTGTGTAATTTATGAGATTTGTATTTACAATCATTTTAATTTCCTTCAGTCTTACAATGTACACATATACTATGCGTAATTAAAAAGAAATATTTTTCTAGTCACAATGATATTAACTCATTCTAAAGAATATTTTGAATGAAGTAACATAATTAATGGTAGATTAGGAACTAATAAATACATCATCAGAAGATTATGTCTGTCTAAGTAATCATTTACTTTTCAAAAAATTGAACAGTTTGCAAACTACGTCACTATTATTGTCACTATTATTATTATGATTGTTATTATTCTTGCTAACAGTAATCGTAGGAGGAAGAATAGATGGAGTAGTAATAGTCGCATCAGTGGTGACTCACCTCTACTGTATAATAACAAACTCACAAAAGTGAAACTAGAACACTCTGATTTTACAGACAGAACTATATGAATGGAGTAGTATAAGTGATCCCAAATGTCGACTTCAGTCGATTCACAACACACTGCAACCATCATCCTATGTCTTCGATCAATAAACAATTGTTTTGTAATATAGGTCATCCAAGCCATCTGTTTATCAATAAGGTGCATCGGCAGAATGGATTTAGAACTTGTGATTCGTTTGGTTTCTATGAAAAAGTCCATTGATATCGTTCTTAATACGAAACTTTAACATTCTTCCTTTGACTAAGTATGAGTTGGCGGGGTAAGTATTGTTCAGAAGTCCTGCATTAAAAAAATACGACTATCTAGTATTCCTTAGTCTTTAATAGTACTTCAGCTGATATTGGTTTGCAACAGAAATTATTTTCAAATTGAATAAATCGTTACAAGCGATATATATGAATTTTGGTAGTTTCGTTCTCTGAGCTCAGAAAATGACTTACTCAGAATGACTGTAAACTTGAACCAAAGTTAGTTGAGTTTTCACCTTTTCTAAATCACTGACAACTCTTACTTGTGAGTAGAGTGAAAGTAGTATAGATAGAAAACTTTTAAGTGATCATTTTAAGGTATAACTTTATTCACCAAATTACTGAATGTTTATATGAGTTATGTAACAAATTGTTTACTACTTATTTAGGGCTCTTAAAATTTCTAGAACTAGCGTTTGACAATCTTATATGATTAGATACATTTAATTTTCATATTTTATAATAACTGAACAATTATATATCAAACTGATTTCTTCTCTTTTTAGTTGAACCCATTATTTTGTTAATCTTTTTCTCTTAATCATCCCATTAGTTATCTTTATTTTTATATTATTTGAAATGTTTAAAAGTAAATCGATTCTTAAGCCTCAATCTGTTTTTGAAAGGCTTTTGAAGATAACTCTGATAATGCCTAAAATCATAATAACAGTTTCAGAACTAGAGTATCCACTAGATTCTTTAGATCTGATAGTTTATTATTCATTCAATTTATTGAGTTTTGATACCTATTCATGTTAGAATATGCATTATATCTCTTTATCTATATCAAAGGTAAAAATCTATCCTATATTCATTTTTTTGTTGTTGCTGATTATTTCTATCCTCCTATAGAGAAATAATCTTGTTTAAATGGACTTAACAACAACAAGAACAACAAAAACAATTAAACAAATTAGAATGATCAAGAATTTATTGAATTGTGCTCATTATTTAAAAAGAAAAATTGTAATTTAAAACAAAATGGTAAAATAATAATGTGATCAATTGAACATTTAAATATGTTTAAACAAAAGAAAGAGATACACGATTTTATTTTTATTTCTTATAAAAGTGATATAAATATGTGAATTTAGGGGTAAAAAAAACATAGAAACTAATGTGTGGTGGGATATTGGTGAAATCATTTTACACGATATAACGAAGTAAGAAAAACATTGTCTACTTTATTGAGAATACTGGAAGATAAAAAAAATCTAAATACATAGGAGGGAGAGTGAAAAAAGAAAGAAGTATATAATTTAAGAGAAGGATAATGTATCAGATTTAAATGAGAAGATAAATGTTTGAGAGAAATTCTGACTTCTATTTTATGAATTTCTAAGCTTCTATGAAGTCTTAATGGTTAACTTTAAGAATTTTTTCGTAGATATCTATAAATGTTATGCATATGAATAAGTGTTTGATATTGGTAAGAAAATAATTAACAGATTGACTAGGGGATTCTAATCTCTTTTTCCTCTAATAATCTATGGAGTCCCTAACCTTTAGTCAAAGTAGTATTGGTAGGTGGAGATTTTCACACGATAGTTGTAATTTATGGTTGAAGCATATTTTCTAAAATTGTACACAATCTCAAAATCATCTGGATAAATTATATTTATTATTTTGTTTGTGGTACTCACCACAGACTGATCACAATTGAGTTAAAACTGATTACCAAGGCGTAATGAATAGAATCTTCTTTGTAGCGTTACACATTTTAGGAAGTCGGGACCTATAATCTCATTACAGTCTGAATCCAGGGCCTTCAGTTCCCATAGCAAGCTATATGATCAGACCAATAGAACGTAGCGATTTTGGTAGTGTCTTAAGTCGTAAAGTAGTCGATCTATTTACAGAAATTCGTCAAAATTTGTTCAGGATGAGTTCACAATTCTTAGAAATCAGCAGAAGTAAACATCGTCCAATTCCATTTTTAAAATATTTGAAGATCCAGATAACTTGGTTTATTGAATTATTTCTGAGTTTGGATCGGTCTACGCAGATGAGGTAATCAAAAGAGAAATTATTTTTATTTTTCTTATTTAAATACAAGCAAAATATATTAGACAGTATAATACTTTTTAGAAATCCTGTATACTACTAATAATAACAATATAATAGTGATAACAAACGATCATAATTCAGTTGGTTAATTCATTCGCCTCCTTTTTTAAAACAGCTTGTCAATGCGGTAATCATACTAATCAATGTATATTCAGCGTAAAAGCTTTCAAGCGTTCCGGTGGTATAACCGGTGGTATATGCTTGGCATGTCAACATCACACAGAAGGTTCAAACTGTGATCAGTGCATAATTGGATATTACCGTGATCCTAATCTAACCATTGGAAATGAGCATGCATGTCGAGGTAGGCAGCTGATAACAGCTCGACTATTAATTCTCATGATGTCATATAATATTAATGGACAAATGAAAACTTGAATGGAAAAAGTCGAATTTTGTCTCATATTTTGTTGTCTTTATATAGTTGTTCTTTTTGTTGTCTGTGTCTAATTCATTGTTATTATATTTATTCATTTATTTATTTGTATATTAACTAAACATATAACATGGTGGGGATTCGCTATTCGCCCTATGTATATATATACATATGCGGTACGGCTCTAACTATACCAAACGCTTCCAAACTCAATATTGTTGTGGTAACTGTGGGTATCTTATATATTTGCATGTTAACACCTATTTTTCTAAAATGTTGCATAAATTCTTAAAATTTACATTCCCAATGGATATGTGCATGAATCCTTGAATGTTTTCATGCGTGATTTCGGTGAATGATACATTAGGATGTGATTGTAATCTGCACTCGAATTCATGCGTTTTTTCAAACCAGTTATATTTAATGTCAATGAAAGTAAGCGGTGGTGTATGTCAAGATTGTCAACATAATACGGTCGGGAGAAGATGTCATAATTGTGTAACAGGCTACTATAGAGATTGGACAAAGCCTGTTAGCCATGATCAAGTCTGTTTGGGTAAGAGTTTCGCTAGCAGGTAGATATTCTATAATGAGATGTACATCGCTGTACTTCCTAACGAGCTATGCATTATCAGCACAAACAACTAGCTGACAGATATTTCATTCACTTTCTTATTGGTCCTATGAGTATTATTACCAAAAAACAAAGTTTCAGTACTTAAAGTTGCCAAGGAATCCTATAAGTAGTACTAAATTGCTCACATAATTTAATATTAGATTGAGAATGGAATAACGGGAACTAAAGTTGCGTCACTCAGTCCCAAATGATCTGGTGAATTGGAATAGAGATGGGTTATTTAATTCCATAAGTTGACTGGTTTGTACAGTATTATTGCCGTTATATCTCTCTGTAGCTGAAGGGAGTTGAGTTTGCATTTATCAGTCATATCTTTAAAGACTGATGTATGTTGGGTATCGGTTCAACAACACAAATTACCTTGGAATCATCACCGAATTCAGACTTCTGTTTCAGTTGCTGAGCACAAATGATTGAAGTTTAGAAAAAAACGAAACGGTCTTCGAACAAGATTATGAATATTATTGAAAACTATAGTTGTTCAGTTATATGTAGTTCGAATTAATATCATAACATTGTGGATAATCGTAAACTTGATATGATGGAGTCTGCTTTAAAATACATTGTCTGATGTTGAGTGATGTAAACTTTAATAACTTTCTTATTGTGACGACAATTCATCAAGTTATTCACACTGAACATTTTACAGCTAACCACAATAATACTAATCTGGATATCTGTAAACTAAAATAAACACAAAAATTCTAAGGATTAAATCGTTTCACATGGTAAATACGAGATAGTAACAAAAGTTTTACGTTGCATATACAGTAATTGTTTTTATACGTTTATGTTGAAGGCCCAGTATAGAATAATGACTTACATAGAATGCATGATTTTGTCCATCAACAATTTGTATGATTCTATTAATAGATAGTAAATGGCATCATTTTTCGCAACGAAAACGGATTTAAAATGTTCTTGCATTGAATCAACACTCTGCATGTTTATTTGATTACGCTTTTTTATAAATTGACCATTCAATAAAGATTAAATCGTGATAAGTATATTCATTTTAGAATGTCGATGCCATCCAATTGGATCGATCGCTAACCAACATTGTGATCGTAAAACTGGTCAATGTCCATGTAAACCAGGAGTTGTTGGACAAGCATGTAATCGTTGCCAAGAGGGTTATAAACAGACACGTTTACCTGATTCACCATGTATTAAAGGTAAGAATAAACTCAATTAGCAAAATTTATTTCTTGTGCTTATACTAGTAATTCAGTGCATTTTTTCATATGAAATAGTGATTGGATTTTTTAGAAAACATGATATGGTATATAATTCATAATAACTACTTCAAGATGAGAAATCAACCAACTAGGTTGGAATTCTCTTTCCACTAGGACTATATATATTACTTAAACTGACAATTTAGATCTTAAACAAGAAAGATTATTTCGAAAAAGAGTTCTCTTTTCGGTGAATTCATTTTCAAACCTGTACAATCTCAAATATATACACTTATTTTACAGGATGATAGTAATTATAATAATATTGATAAAAAAACTTCTGCTAGACATGGTGACATTGAGGTAAAATAATTTTTCTTCTTTTTTACTTCCTTTCTTCATACTCTATTTCCTTTACAGCCATCTCATTCACCTTCCATCTTTCCCTTAAATCTTCTGCCCCGACTAGTTTATTTCTGTTTCTATGATCATCCTGATTACATTTAATCTCAATTTCAACATTTTATCTTATCATGCTGAGCCATCCTTTCCCAATGATAATTTCCATATCTATCTTTTGATGAATACTTAAGCCATTAACAATAAAAGGATTATTAAACTTTCATTGTTTTATTTTAAAGAATTTCTAATACCTCTGTTTATTTAATCTCACTGTCACCATGTCCAACAGAAGTTTATTATCAATATTATTAGAATTATTATCGTCCTTTAAAGTAAGTATATATATTTGAGATTGTACAGGTTTGAAAATGAATTCGCCGAGAAGAGAACTCTTCGTCGAACTAATCTTTCTTATTTAATGTTATAATGGGTGTATTCCATTTACTAAAGAAATCGGATCATGTCATGTCAACACATTCCTAGATTGAATAAACCGTAATCATTTATATATGACTATTTTAGTTTAAGAAATGATATTATTTACAGACACCTCCAACTATTGATTAAAGCTAACTCATCAACATCAACCAGGAAGCTATAGTCATATATTTGTAATTCACATTACTTTCTAACTTCAATTGGCATAGATTAACAACATTTTGTTTAGTATTCTATGCCCAGAGTCAGTGTTCAATATTATACAGTACATACTTTATCATTCACAAGATACTGATTATCATATATGAGGAAGTGGAAGAATTGAATAGACCACCTCATCCTCTTTCCCAAATAAAAAATATAATCAGAACTTGTTACAAATCATTGTAAATATCTAGAATAAATTACAGTAATAAATCATGAAAATTTGGTTTGCTTTTTAAACTATAAACTAAACTAGAATACAACATAAATTATATATTAAAATGAGTTTTGCATGCTATACAATAATCACCGTTATTATTAGGAAAAGAGCGAAGGAAAATTCAAGCTAACAATGAATAAATTTATATACTACTGAATCACATGTACATTATAATATAAGTATGTATACACGTATAAATGTCATCAATTTTATACACATTTTAATAAGTACATTAACATAATTTTTTTTGTTTTTCATTTTAAAATCGTGTAAAAATAAAAAGAAAATTTTAAAAGTTTTTCCCTTATTTTAAAATAAAACAAAAAAATGGGAAAAAAGAAAAGATTAATGTTACATAATACCATACAATAAAGTGATCATGACCACCAATGTGGATAATAAATTTTTTTCCCTCAAAAAATACAAAAAAATTTTTTCTTTTAAAAATTATCTTTTTTTCCACGTATAATTTTCTCCATTTATTCATACTCTTCCTTTTTTTCTGTTGTTGTTCACTCCATTAAAACACTGATATGATACAATGATTAATGGATCTGTGCATTTGATTTTCAATTCATTTATGAAGATTAGTAATTTTCCAAAATATTGAGAATTATATTAATTTCATTTCTATTAGCAAGAATTTACTGATTGGGAATATTTGATTTCATGGTATTCTAATTCAAAGTATGGTACAGTTTTGTTGATTGACATAGTCTAATTCTAATGAATGAGATAGAGGGGAATGCAAAATTTATTGGACATCTGTGATATATATATATATATATATATATATATATATATATATCGTAGGCCTAATTTTCTATGCTGTGAATTGTTCTGATTTGTTAATAAGTAGATCCATTATCATTTATCAAATTTAGTACTTTATTAGACCTCTCTTATCTTTGAAATTGTAAGCTAAGATTTTCAACGATAAATCTCAGTCAACTGAATAACAGCAATAAGCTCAGCCTGTGGAGTTTTTATTCCATGTACATATTTTTTAGATCATAGATTTCTCACTAGCTGTATTCACATGTTAATGAGAAATACTTTTAGTACGTTACATTCCCTGAGCAGGATTGTTCAACTGCCTTTCTGTTCAATATGAGAAGGTGACACCAATGAAAGCATTCACTTGAGCTACAAAGCATCATAATTTCAGTTTGAAATAATATTTCGACGTTTACCAGAATATTTTTCAATATCATCCTGTCTGTTTAGCATCAATATAAAATATTTAGACGATTACTATCTTTTTTTCAACATACGATAATGAATAATGGGTAGATGAATGAGTGACTGGGTATTTGTGCTGATCAAAACGTGTTTGACTCACATTTTGATCACGCCTGGTATTCTGCCACAGTAAACACTATATTTAATATGTAAGTGTTTGTGTATAATACAATGCCATACTTAAGGTCTGCGCAGCATGTTTCGATTTCAAAGAAGGCTTTATTACATAAATCACTGATATCATTGATCTGTCGCCAGTAAACTCTTAAGTTTTTATTGGCTAAATGTCTCCAATTTACTCCAGTAGCTTGGGAGATGATGTACCATATTAGTAGTCCACATTTTACAGATAACTTTTAACCCTTTGTTAAAGTGAATTTATCTCATTGAAAGATTTGGTTTTAAGGATAGTAATATATTATAACAAATCAAACATGTATAGGTTACTTAATGTCAGCTCATTCTTTAGACATCAAATATAACCTCACCATGTTTCACACTAGGATATATCCAAACATAAATTCCAGAATCAATTGGTTGTACGATCGTTGAAGACTTCTAGTAAATTGTGCAGTGTACTTAGGTGTTTTAATTTAGACTTTAAATAATATTGAAAAATGTATAAAATAATATATTTATGGCATCCTTTATATTCTGTTCGATTATTTAACATTAGAACTTTGGAAAAATCCTATTTCCAATTACAATGGTGTTGAATAAGCTTAGAATTAATAAAAATTTGTTAAACAGAGCAAGAGCAAAGATTGATGCAGAATAATATGACTTCATTCTACCTCGTTAAGTCCTCATCAGCTGCTTACAAATTATAATATTTAAAATCACCATTATTGGAGATATTGATGTGCTTACAAGATAACGAGGGGAATTATGTGTATGAAAAATTTATGTGAAAATACAAATTCATTTCAGGTTGAAAATACTGTCGTTTGTGAGGAACCTACGTAAATACATTTGTTAAAAGTACTTTGATATATCGAACTTTGAATAATAACTATTCGTTCTTTACCATAAATCCGAGTAAAATGGGTTATTACCTAATACTAAAATAACAAAAAAATTACGTAATACTAGGCCAAAGTTAAGTAATAGAGAAAAAACTGTTATATCAAACAAACTTAATAACCTTGAGGGAAATAATAAAACTGGACATATATATATATGGGAAGGATCAAACCAAGAAATGTAGCGTTTTCTTCAATGCTAACACTAGCGAGGTTACGTAACCAATAATAAATAAAAATGAGTATTTTGATAATAAATGTAACAGTTATGATGGCGATAGTGATAAGAAAACTGAGGATGGCATAATAATCTAAACAAAAAGTTTCCTTTTCGAATTGAATCAAAACGCTTATCAGTAAAAGTCACGAAATAAAATAGGATGAATTATTATATATATATATATATATATATATATATATATATATATATATATATATATATATATATATATATATATATTAGTGGGAAATAATAGTTGCAGAAAGAGGGAAAATTGATATAATTATTTTCTTTACCTGGCATGAGATAAATGAAGGAATTATTTACTTTTAATGGATATGAAGGAACACTCTACTGACTTAGATGCATATATCTGCATTATGTTCCATAAGCAAGTACAAAACTTAAAATATAATGGAATACTGTGAACGATAAGGAATACTTCAGTTCTGTTTACATCATCGCCACTGTCGACCACATGTGATGAAAGTAGAATTTCACACTGAATTTGTTTGTTTCTCTTTTAAACACGAATGGCATTGTGTACTAACTAACTGACTACTTTCACCTAGAAGCATGTCCAATCTTCACAGAATCAGTTGAACTAGTAGGGATACATTGAACCAGGAAGACCACGCGACTTATCTATTTTTTGAACAACCGCTATTAATTGGAATTCTCAAAATGTGTTTAATTTGTAAGTTGATTGGAACTAGTCAACACATAATCTCAATATATTGCATGCGATATCAGGTCAGTGAGACTAGTGGTCACTTTATAACTAGATCGACAGAATTTAGTCAACATTAAAAGGACTGGTCACACATGAAATTGGTCACTAGTTAGTGATCAGTCCACTGTATCGGTTTGAATTATCATAGTGGTTTAATATGTCTTATTATTTTTATTACTATTATTCATAGTATTGCAGTTTTCACCACATTACTATTATAAATGTTAGACTAACTTTGGACTATGTTACTACTTGTGTATTGAAATAACGTTACTGTTTAGGTTATTTTATATTCACTTATCTTCAGACTAATTATCATTGACTTGTTTAAAGTCCTCACTAGTAGCATTCATATATTATTTTTCACCAGATTAATTTTACTGTTTGAAGTCACCTAGAACTTGGGGCTTAGTAACAGTTCTGTGTTGTTGTTAGAATGAGGGTTTGTGAAAACTGTAGTAATTTAATGGTTAAATTCATGACTCCATTTAAGCTAGACCACCATTGGGAACCTGG